TCAAATCAACAAATATTTATTATGTATGTATGATGTGCAAAACAGTATGTGATACTGGGTGGGGAGGAGAGAGAGAGAGAGAGAGACAGAGAGAGACAGAGACAGAGAGAGAGACAAGAGAGACAGAGAGAGGCAGAGACAGAGACAGAGATAGAGATAGAGAGACAGAGAGAGACAGAGGGACAGACACAGAGAGAGAGAGACCATCATCCTGAAAGTCAGAATGATCTGGGTTCAGTGGTGGAATCCTCCAGCTGTGTGACCCTGGACAAATCACTTACCCTCTCACTGCTCTAGTCCAGGGGTGTGAAGACACAACTCATGGGCTGCATGCAGCCCATAACAATCTTGTCTGCATAAAACTGGATTAAAATGTAGATCTTTGATTTTAATGTGTTGATGTATTCATAAAAAAAATGTATATGTATAAACACGTATGGTTTTCTAAGTCAATATGCAGCCCTCAGGGATCCCTTTGGTTTTATGGCCCCCGTTTCTATTTGAGTTTGACACTGCAGCTCTAGGCAATCTTCGAAGACTAGAAGTGGCAGAAAAGGTGCTGGCCGGGATGGGAAGTGGGAGTTTCCTCATTTGGAAGTTCCTTAAATGAATCAAAGTAAAGCTTCAGAACAACAACAGCATGTACAAGGGAAGGCTCAGCTGTGCAAACATATTTGCTATCTGAGGCATGGAACAACTCCATTGGCCCAGGCCTTGCAGCAGGAGTGGTCCCCTGCAAAAAGCTCAGGATAATGACCCATGCAATGGCATCAGATGATTGCCAGGCAGAATAACAGCTCTGCACCAGGAACCCAGGAGAATATGGTCTTCCTGAGTGCTGACTTACTGAGTGACCTCTTGGGAAGAAGTCTCCCCACTCTTCTTTAATTATAAACTAAGATGACCTGGATGAGTTCTTAAGATAAGTGAAAGGACCACCTGATGCAATTTCTTTTCAGTCTCCAAGAATTCTCATTCTTGAAACTTAGTGGGAATTCCAATATCTTGCTTTAATTTTGCCTTTTTAAAGGTAGGGAGTAGAGAATAGGGATGGACCTGTGATTTCTTTGGAATAGGGACTGAGGAAACTGCTTTTACTAATGTAAGTCTGCACTTTCTTTGCAATTACTAGTCTGAGAAAGTTGCCTAGATCAATGAGACATTGACTTGCCCAGAGGTAAACAGACCACATGTGCCAATAGTATCTATCCACTGTGGTTAATTAGTTAATAAACATTTATTAAGCACCTACTGTATGCCAGGCACTGTGGTAAGCATTAGGCATATAAAGAAAAACAAGACAGTCCTTATTCTCCAGGAGCTCAGAGTCTAATAGGGAAGACAATATGCAAACAATTATGTTCTCTCTCTCTCTCTGTGTCTCTCTCTCTCTCTCTCTCTCTCTCTCTCTCTCTCTCTCTCTCTCTCTCTTTCTTTGCATGTATGTATGCATGTTATATAGATTTTATATAAATATATAGCTAAAATCTGAGATAATCAAGAGGACAACTATGTACAAACTATATATATATATAATATATGTTAATATATAATAAATCTGAGGCAATCAAGAGGACACTAGCATTAAGGGGAGTCAGCAAAGGCTTCCTACAGAAGGTAGGATTTTAGCAGGGACTTGAAAGAAGCCAGGGAATCCAGGAGATAAAGTGAATTAGGAGGAAAAGAATTACAAGTATGAGATACAGCAAGTGAAAAAGTGGGAAGATGGAGTATCTTGTTTGAGGAATAAATAGCCAGGAGGCCAGTGTCACTAGGTTGAGGAGTATAAGGAAGAAAGTAAGGAGTAAGAGGACTAGAAAGGTAGTGTGGGTGGGAGCAGATTCTGAAGGGCTTTGAACACCAAACAGAGGATTTTCTAATTTGATCCTGGAGGTGATAGGGAGCCCCTGGAGTTTGTTGAGGTGGTGGTGGTGGTGCAGTGTGACATGGTCACTGAGCTTTAAGAAGATGCATTTGCAGATGAATAGAAGACAGACTAGCACACTGCTGTGTGCATGGCAGGTGTTTAATAAATGTTGGGTTGAATTAAAAAAAATGTGGTAAAGAGGAAAGACAGTTAGAGGATGTGAGTTCAAATCCTGACTCCACTACTTAATACCAAGTTGCTTCACTTGTCCTCTCTGAGATATCAGGCAAGACACAAATCTAGCTCTTCCTGACTCCATGGTTGGCTTTTTATCCATTCAATGGCACTAACTTTCAGATAGAGAGTGCAAGTATTATTATTCCTATTTTACAGAAAAGGAAATTTGGGCATAGAGAGATTAGGGGACTTTATTTGACACTGAAAGAAGAAGCTTGAGATCTTTTGGGGCCTGGAATAGCTGAATTTATCTTTTGGCAGAGGATAATCCTGCCCTAAAAGCTAAGAGTACATTTACTCCATGATCTGCAGGGCCACCTGAATGCTAAAGTTTTTTTTTTAATGTAGAGAGTGAACAAGGTGACCTACTGCAGCTTCTGGGAAATCTGTCTATTTGCTTAACATTGTTGGAATTCATTTTACTATATTTTCAGGAGGTTTTCTCATTGCACCTGTTGATTTTCATGGGGAATCCTTAAATGAATTAATTACTGCCTATCTATTTCTTTGCTTTCTTTTTCTTTTCCTTCTTCTTTGATAACCTTACGTGCTCCAAAAAAAGTCATAACCCACATGGTCAGACTTCAGCACATAGTCACAGCTGGCATGTGGCCAGATATGAAATTGGAAGGAGCAAACAAATACAGGTTTGGCTCAGCTTTCCAGACCGGAGAGGATGTGCTGGCTGAGAATACAATACATATGTGTGTTAGTGGGTCAGGGTTGGGTGAGTGGAGAGAGGTTAAAAAAACACAAAACTTCAAAAAGTAATTGGAGATTTTAGAAAAGACATCCTCCAACAAGTACCTAAATGTCAGATGAGATTCATATCCCGTCACAAAAATTTTCCACCCTTGGGACACTGAAAACCTTTACCTGCAAACTTCATAGAGGATAGAAAAATGGAAGTTCTGTTTAATAAAGGGGGAAGGAAGGGGAAGGATTGTCATCTTGGAGACTTTTTGAATCAACTTCATGACTAGGAAAGAAAATTGTCACTTTCAATTAAGTTAAATACACAAAGCTTATATGAGCTATCAGCATTGTCAATTAGGATAAAGAGGCCCTGGGAAAACCATGGTATTAGGCAGACCACAAGACTAGTTTCCACAACAAATAGGTTCCTTTTCTTGGAAAACTTTCTAATAAAGGATTAGAGTTCTACCCTGGAAACTTTCAGGCTTGTGACAGATGCCTTTTCATCAATGATACTGGAGGTGGACTCTGCCTGGGAGCAGAGAGATAATTCTTTGGAAATCACTTCCAGTCCCACGTCCCTCTGATTCTAGCAGCCCGTCAATCTTTTACGGGCATTTATTAAGCACTTACTATGTGCCAGGAATTGTGCTAAATGTAGACTACTGTGGAAAGAAAGACAATCCCTGTCATCAAGGAAGTTACATGCCAATGGGAGAAGACAACATATAAAAGGAAGCCAAAAATGGGGCATAGACACGGTCAAGGACATTTCAACTATCACTTCCAAATACAAATAAATGACTTCTACAAATATATACACACGTATGACTCCTACACAGAGCTACAGTCCTGATCTCTCACTTGAACTCTAAGATTAGCAATTTCAACTACTTATAGAACACATCTGATCTGATGTCCCACTTGAATTTACACTCAACAGTGACCCAAACTTTGCTTATTTTCATTCTCCCAAGAACTTTTTCTTTTTAAAAATCTGTCACTGGCACCAAACAGTTTCAAATTCAGATCTTGTTTAATCTTTGCTTTTTGTTTTTCCCTCTTTACCTCTTATAGCCAGTGACTCACTAAGTTCTGTTAATTTCATCTCTGTCATTGTATGCACCCCCTCTTCTCTATTGTCAGTGCCATTACCTTACTACAGGCTCTCAACTGCCACCCACTTGGATTGTTGTAGTATACATACATGCACATATACCTATATATGCATATTTGTGCATACACATGTACACATACATATTCTTATTTGTATAAACATATAGGTACACACGTAGGGGCAGCTAGGTAGCACAGTAAATAGTCTTGGGGCTGGAGTCAGGAAGACTTATCTTCATGAATTCAAATGTGGCCTCAGATACTTGCTGTGAGACTCTGGGCAATTTCACCCCCGTTCACCTCAGTTCCTCGTTTATAAATGGCAGAGCCAGGATTTGAACTCTGACTAAAAATGTACAGTAACTCTTACATTCAGATTGGAATGAACCAAATAAATATTTGTTGAAAGTTATTGCATGAATTGTTATATATGGATCTTTGGGTGGGTCAGTGGGGTGCTTATATATCTTATTTCATCACTAAACTTTATCTCAGTGGCTTCAGAGTAAACCAGATTTTCACACTCTCCTCTCCTGCAACTAAAGCAATCCCAAATAATTTACAGCCTCTGGATTCTATGTCCAAGTCTCCAGAGTTCAAAACAAAGTTGAGGAAATAACCTAGAGCATTTAGACAAAGTCATCCTTTCACTTGCATTGTCTTGCGATTATACTCTTTCACCTGAAATTGAACTAGCTATTGTTTCAATTTGGTAATATAGAACTGATCCTTTTACTAACCTTGAAATCACCTTTCTCTCTGTCTCTCTTTCACCCTCCCTCTTTCTCTTCCTCCTCCTCTCTCTCTTCCTCCCTCTCCTTCTCTCTCTCTCTCCCCCTTCCTTTCACTCTCCCCCTTCTGTCTCTGTGTATATCTCTGTGTCTGTATCTATCTCTCTGTCTCTCTCTCCTTGAATCAGTCCTGATATTAGTGGGTCAAGTACGATTTGGATGGACAATTCTAACCATTGGCCAAAGATTCTGTTTGCCAAAATGCGGCGAAAAGTACTCTCCCCTAGGGCTTATGCAGTAACTTATTGTTAATTGGTGACGTCTGTGGAGGGATTGGATTTCATTTTCTTTTAGCAGCTCATATTAGGAGTTTCTTTCCCAGAGTCTTCATTTCCATTCTTCCTCCTCCAATCCTTCTCCATAGTTAAACTAGAAGACAGATAAGTTAGGGCTAGGTTGTGTAGGACTTTAAAAGCTAAATGTGAGTTTGTATTTTATCCTCTAAGCAATAGGAAGGCAGAGTTACTTGAGTGGGAAAGTCACAAAATCAGATCTGTGCTTAAGGAAAATTATTTTGGAAGCAGCGTGTGGGAGCAGATCAGAGTGGTGAGAGACTTGAGAAACCAGGGTCTTAAAGTATAATTTCTATTTTAAAACTTTTATGCCATTTTTGTTTCTATATTTTGTTGATTCTATATTTTGTTTCTATGTCAACTTTCATTTTCAAATATATGCTCCCCCCATAGAAAACTATAACAAAGAAAAGAGAGAGGGAGAAGAAGAAAAGAAGAAGGAAGAAGAAGAAGAGGAGGAGGAGGAGGAGCATTTGAGAGAGGAAGGTAGAAAGAGGGGGAGGAGGAGAGAGAGACAGATAGACACAAGGGGGGGAGAGAGAGAGAGAATCACTTCAGCAAAACTAAACAATACATCAATCAAGTCTGAGGGTACATGTATCATAGCATATCCATAGACCCCCTACCTCAGCGAAGACGAGAAGGAGGTGAATTTTCTCATTTCTTCCTTAGGGAAAAGTTTTGTCATTACACATTATGCTTTTTAAGAAATGTTTTTGGTGATGGTGGTGGTAACAGGTGAATTTGGGAAAAATGTTATCATTGAAACAGAAAAAAGCAACCCATTTTCTGTTTTTAAGGTTATGACGCCATCAAATTTTCCTTTGGTCCTGTTTTGTTTCCTTTATAATTTCTCACCCTCTCAGTTAGTTTGTGCCGCCTTCCCCTATACCCATCTTTTCCATTCCCTCCCTTCCTGTTCATGCCCCATCTTTATTTTCAGTTTATTCTTCTTACAATTTTTAGTCAGTCTTACTCGTTTTCTTTTCTTTTCTTTTCTTTTCTGTTTTTGGGCGAGGTAATTGGGGTTAAGTGACTTGCCCAGGATCACACAGCTACTGAATGTCTGAGGCTGGATTTGAACTCCCATCCTTCTGACTCCAGGGTTGATACTCCATCCACTGTGCCACCTAGCTGCCCCTTTCTTACTCTTTTTCTACCCCAAACTCCTTTCTCCCCTTTCCTCTTCATTCTAGAGAGTCTTCCCTGCCACTTTCCTTTCACCCTCCCAGTCCTTTTCTGTCTTCTGGGTGCTTGTGATGTCTCTTTTTCCCACCTCTTAATTTAATAGTTTTGCAAACCTGGTCTCTCAACTCTCTTATCCTTCCAGACTAGTCTTACACAGCTGCCAAAGTCATTTTCTTTTTCTATCATCTAAAACAGTGATGTCAAACTTAAATAGAAATAGGGCCACTAAACCATGCAGAAGGATCCCTTTGGGCCACATATTGATTTAGTTCTAAAATGTAATATCATCTATGCTTTGTTACATTTTTATTTCTTTTATTGAGTATTTCCTGATTACATTTTCATCTGGTTCAGGCTGCACTCGGGAGTGTTGTGGGCCCCACTCAGCTGGTATTTGACACCTCTAGCTTAGAGGATCAAATAGAAGCTTTTTGAGCCCTGCACCACCTGGCCCCAACCTATCTTTGGTGCTTCGTGGGACGTCATTCCCTGTCACACTCTGCAATCCAGCCAAATTGTCCTCCTCTCTGTTCCTTACACAGGATGTTCTATCTGTTTCTGTGCCTCAAAGAGTTCCTCAGCCCTACACGATCTTTATCATGAAGACTTTCATAAGCTCTTCAAATATTAGTACTTCATTCTCTAACTCCTTGGTATATAGTTGCATTTATAAACTTTGTATGTATGTTATACTTGTCTCTGGTTAGAATGTAAGCTTCTTGCATGTCAAGATTGCTTTATTCTTTGTACTTGTATCCCTAGTGCTAATGCTTCCTGATTGATGGATTTTAATAAATATTAGTCCAATTGAACTGAATTACTACTCTCCCAGGGCCATAAGCCCAGCGGAAGGCCTTGTGAAGCTTTGTTTCATTTAGGGCTAACCATGCCTGCCTGGGATTCTCCCTACCTGGCAGTCAAGGTGAGTGGGGTGGCACTAACCTAACAGTCTGAGGATTTGATAGTGGTTCCCATTGCTAGAGGGTCATGGACACTTTGTATTCTAGGATGTTTCCAGGGCCCTTATTCTGTTGTTAAATCAAAAGAAGGGAGAGGAAAAGGTCAAAAACTTTGAATCTGACATCCCTGGGGAATTATTGGGTTTTCTATCTTAGGTAGCCTGATTCGTCAGGGGTCTACCATCCATTGAAAATTTTTACTGGATGCTGACAATTCATCAAGCTACTGACATTGGGGGGATAAAGAAGATAGATTAGCTTATTTTCTCCCCCAGTGCATTCCACATTTCAATGTGGTATATTTGCCTTCAGAGGTCCCCTTGGTATAACATTCCTGCTCATAGTTCTGGCTCAACACAAAACTAAAGAATATAATCAACAGGAACACTGGTCCTTACCTAGCATTTTGTTCATCCCTCTCATACACTAATCATATGCTATTTTGTACTGTAAACTGTTTGAATACGTATCATATCCTCCTATAAGCTCCATTATGGCAGGGTGGACCAGTGGATAGAGTGCTGGGCCTAGAGTTGGGAAGACCTGAGTTCAAATTCATCCTCAGACACTAACTAGCTGTGTGACCCTGGGCAAGTCACTTAATTCTGTTTGCCTGTTTCCTCATCTGTAAAATGAGCTAAACAAGGAAATGACAAACTACTCCAGTATCTTTGCCAAGAAAACCCCAAAAAGGGGTCATAGAGAGTTGGGCATCACTGAAAAATGAAAACAACAGTAATCTCCCCTAAAGACTTCCTTCACCCTTCACATCCAATCAATTGCCAGATTAAATCCCAATATTCTTTTCCCTATGTGAACTTACATACCCACCATTCTAGCACAGACCCTCATCAGCTCACTTCTGCTATTGTAACAATCCCTAATGAATCTCCCTACCTATAGTCTCCCCATTTTCCAATCCATCTTCTATACAACTGCCAGATTGACATTACTACGGTGTAGGTTTGACCATGTAGAGGACAGTGTGCTACAATGGAAAGGCATGGGATTTGGAGTCATTTGACCTAGGTTCAAATCCTGTCTCTGCCACTTATGGTCTCTGTGACACTGGGCAAATCTCTGAACCTCAGTTTCTCAGAGACAGCTCCTTTCAGTGGATAGACCACTGGAGCTGGAATGAGGAAGACCTGGGTTCAAATCCCACCTTAGAAATTAAATCACTTAGCCTCTTCTAGCCTCCATTTCCCAGCTATAAAATAAGGGAATTGGATAGGATGACTTTTAAGGTATCCTCTAGCTCTATATCTTTGTTTCTATGCCATCACCCAGATCAAGAAACTCTAATGGATCCCTCTTGGATACAATTCAAACTCTGACTTTTAAGGTCTTTTACCAATCTACTTCCCTCTTTGTAACTGAACTTTCCATCTCCTTCCTCCATGCCTCTGGAGTATTCTCAATGCCTAGAGCAAGCTCCCTCTTCACCTCTAACTCAGAATACCTGAATATTCTGATTGCTTCAAAACTTAGTTTGTGTCACCTCCTACATGAGTTTTCCTGAGCCTTGTCACCTAAAAATTACTCAGCATATATTTTGCATGTATCTATGTACGTATTCACCCTCTTTTCTCCTTCCTTCCTCCATAGAACATAAGCCCCTGAAGAGCAAATACTATTTGATTTTTGTCTTTGTATCTCCAGTGCAGTGACTGACACATAATAGGCACTTATTATAGGATCATAGGGTCATAGATGTCATGCTGAAAGAGATCTTGGAACTTAGCTAGTACAACCCTCTTATTTTACAGGTGAGGAAACTGAGGCTCAGAGTGCTGATAAGTGACTTGTCCAAGGTCAAATGTAAATGGCAGAGCTGAAATTAAAATCAAAGTCTGACTCTAGATTCAGTACTCAATAGATGCTTGTTGAATGAATGAATGAATGAATGAGTAGTAGTTACTCTAGGCAATTTTTGTTGAATGATTGAATGTCTCATTTGTGGAAACTTGCTTTGGAGGTCCCATTTCACTTCACATTTGTGACCCATTCCTTCCTGTTCTTTCACTTCTAAATGCTTCTTTGGATCTTTGAAGACTGAAGTTATCTCTTCATGACTCCAGAGACGGTTGTGGTGACCTGCTTTTGTGTTAATGTGTGTTGTAGAGCAAGCTTTCCTCAGTGATTAAAATCTCCCACAAACATCAGTTCTAGAGACTTTCTCAACCCTCTTATCTCTTTTAGAAGCAATCAATCTTCCCTCCTCCTCCCTCTGCCTACCTGGTCATGCCCCTTCTGATTGCTTCATCTGTGGCCTTGTTTACACATGCAAAATAAAAGGGAGAATGGAGACAATTATGTATGTAATTCAAGGTTCCAAAGTCATTGCTGCTTGACGTTTATACCTACAGAGTTCAAATAATAGCACTTACTGTGTGTGCATACTCAGCTCTGACAGATCTAGGGCAATGGCCCAGACTACATGTAGACCTGAATGAGGAAAATTTCTTCCTTTCTTCAAGCATATGTTCCTAAATATGTAGTGACCCTACATCATTGCAATCCTCCTGGTTTTGAATGGTTTGCTGTTTCTGTTGGTTGTTGAAAATTATTTCTAATTTACCAAAAAAAGGAAGGAAAGGAGAAGAAAGAGAACAACTCCTATATACCAAGCCCTGTGCTAGGCTTGTGGAGGCTTCCTGGTGTAGTGCCAAGAATTCTCGGAGGAAAGGGAGACCTGAGTATGAATCCTATCTTGGAAACTATGTGACCATGGGCAATTCATTGAATCCCAGTTTTCTTATTTGTAATATAGGAATAATAACATAGGTAGTATGTACCTCACAGGACTATTATGAGATAATGTTTGTGCAGAGCCCACTGAGATAACACTTGTAAAAAGCATTTAGCTCACTGTTTGGTGCAGAGTAGGCCCTATATAAATGCTTCTTACCTTCCCCTTCCCTGCTATGTAAAGCCTGTGGGCTGTGTAAAAAATCTCATCTGATAGCTACAAGGTCCCTGCCTTCATGGAGCTTTGCAATTTAATTTAGGAAAATGAGACTTGCATATAAGTAACTGCAATTCTAGGAGACTGTTGATTTTGAGAGAAGAAAATGTTCTGATGAACGAGTATGCTTTGTTAGATCACCTCTCAATTTTTGGTTTGGAAAAACTGGTCACTGTAGCATTCTGTGTTGAGTTTCTTAATTGGTGAAGATAATGTGCCAAATGGAAACCTAATTCTAGTTTTTTTTAAACATTATATATTTTGTTTCCTCTAGAGCAGGGGTTCTTAAGTTGGGCAGGGGGTCCATGGATGGATTTCATGGGCTCCATGAATTTGGATGGGAAAAAATTTTTCATCTTAATTTTCACTAAATTCCAACTTTTTTTTCAGTTATAAATTAGGCAACAATATATAAGGTCAATAGGCTTCACCAGAGTGTCAAAGGATTCTCTGATAGAAAAAAAGGCTATAAGAAGCCCTGCTCTATGGAGTGATATTATCTATACATATATGTTAGTTATTGATTGTTAATTAGCTATTATGATTTACAAGCCTATATGGGGCCCTAGTCTCCCAAGGCCCAGTCCTCTATTGGCAAGTACTCATCGGACGTTTCCAATTGGATGTACCATAGGCATCTTAAACTCCACGTGTCTAAATCAGATCTTGTTATCTCTGTCCCCCAAAACACCTCTCCCAAACATTCCAGATTCTGTTAAAGGCAACATCGTTCTTCCAGTCTCACATGGTTTACAAGTTTGTCATTATCCTCAACTCCTCACTCCCACTCATGCCCCATATGCAGTGACTTGCTAAATCTTGCTCTTTCCCCCTCCACAACATTGTTCACATCTGACCTCTTTTCTCCATTCATGCAGTAAACTTAGTTCAGGTTCTCACCACCTCTGACCTGCAGTTACCTCTTCACAGTCACCTCCGGTCTCTCCCTACTCCATTCTACCCTCCACACAACTGTTAAAGAGATTGTATGAAGCATCTGACCATGTCAGTTCCTTAGCTGATGAACTCCATTTCTTCCTTATCACCTCTATGATAAAATATAAATGAAACTCCTCTGTTTGGCTTTTAAAGCCTTTCACAGCCTGACCACAACATATCTTTCTATCTTCATTATGCATTACCCCTCTTCTCAAACTCGGCAGTCCAGCCAAACTGGTCTTACTCACCCATCACACTCACCAATGGCATCTTTGTTCTCTATGCTGTTGTAGTAGTTCTCCCTCATGTTTGGAATGCACTCCCTAGTTACCTCTGTTTCTTAGAATCCCTCATTTTTTTTTTGCAAGATGCTTTTCCAAGCACTACATTCTTTGAGAAGCCTTTATTGACCTCTCCAATTTATCAGTGCCCTCCCTTCCCCAATATCTTTTAAAAAAATACCATAGTTATTCCAAGGAAATCTGCTTGGGGGGATTGGGAAGGGAACAAAGAATTTTTAAGTGTCTAACATGTGCCAAGCTCTTTATAAATGTTATCTCATTTGATCTTCACAACAACTCTGGGAGGTAGATGCTATTACTGTCTCCATTTTACGGTTGAGGAAGCTGAGGCATACATAAATGACTTGCTCAGGATCATACGGTTAGTAGTGTCTGAGGCTGGACTTGAACCGAAGTCTTCCTGCCTCTAGGTTCAGTACTTTATCCACTGTACTACCTAGCTGCCTCCCATTCACAACTGAAAAGGTGGGTGAACAGGGAGCACAGCCCAGATGGCCAAGTAAAAGCAATGACTTGCTTGAGCTTTCCTCTAAACCCCTCCAAATACCTGTAAAAAATGCTCTAAACAAATTGTAGAGCAGCAGAACCCACAAAAGGACAGAGTGAAACAAATTTCCAGCCCAAGACAACTTGGATAGTTGATAGGAAAGGTCTAGGAGGGGAGCACAATTCAGCATGGGCCAAACTGGCAAAGACAGGCCCCCAGCAAACCCCAGGCCTTAGGGGACTGAATCACTAGCAGCTGTGGCAGTTTCCAGAATTCTCAACCCACAAATAGCAAAGACAGCTTAGAAGGTCAGTGGGAAAGGTCTGTTAGACCTGGGTGAGATAGGATCACTGTCCAGACACACAGCCTTGGTGCAGCTCCGGGAGGTGGCTATTTCAGGAGGGAGCTCATGGCCCACAGACATTAGGGCGATTGAGAGGCTGATGAAAGGGGATTGCAGGGATCTCTTTGCTGGCACTGAAGCAGGATTCTCTTGCTTTGCCCATACTTGAATCTGGGTTGCTGTCCTGGGGCAGTCCTGGGATGAGGCAAAGCACTGGCATGATGGAGCTTGTGGTGGCTGTGAAGAGAGAATCCTCCTCACAGGTCAAAAGCAGAAAAGAATTCTGTGGTCATTCATAGACCAGAGCACAGGCCAGGAAAAGAGTAAACACCTAGCCTTTGATCATACTACCTTGAAAGAACTGAAAATTTACAGGTCCCTAGAAGTATCTCTGAAAACAACTGCACAAAACCCCTGAAGCTTGGGACAGTACATTCTCCACATTGGAAGCAGACCCCTACCTTAACAAAGAGTTTAAAACTCGAGTAATTGGCTGGGATCATGAGCAAACAGCAGAAAAAAACTCAGACTATAGAATCTTACTTTGGTGACAAAGAAGATCAAAATATACAACCAGAAGAAGACAACAAAGTCAAAGCTCCTACATCTAAAGCCTCCAAGAAAAATATGAATTGCTCCTAGGCCATGGAAGAGTTCAAAAAAAGATTTTGAGAAGCCAATAAGAGAAGTAGAGGAAAAATTGGGAAGAGAAATGAGAGTGATGCAAGAAAATCATGAAGAACAAGTCACCAGCTTGTTAAAGGAGACCCAAAAAAATGCTGAAGAAAATAACACCTTAAAAAATAGACTAACCCAAATGGCAGAAGAGGTCCAAAAAGCCAATGGACAGAAGAGTGCCTTAAAAAGCAGAATTGATCAAATGGAAAAGGAGGTCCAAAAGCTCATTGAGGAAAATAATTCCTTAAAAATTAGAATGGAGCAAAAGGAAGCTAATGACTCTATGAGAAATCAAGAAATTATAAAACAAAACCAAATGAAAAAATAGAAGACAATGTGAAATATCTCTTCAGAAAAACAACTGGCCTAGAAAATAGATTCAGGAGAGATAATTTAAAAAGTTTTGGAATATCTGAAAGCCAAGATCAAAACAAAAGAGCCTAGATATCATCTTTCAAGAAATTATCAAGGAAAACTGCCCTGATATTCCAGAACCAGAAAGTAAAATAGAAATTGAAAGAATCCACCAATCATCTCCTGAAAGAGATCCCCAAAAGAAAACTTTTAGGAATATTATAATTGAATTCCGGAGTTCCCAGGTCAAGGAGAAAATATTGCAAGCAGCCAGAAAGAAACAATTCAAGTATTGTAGAAACACAATCAGGATAACAAGAGATTTAGCAGCTTCTACATTAAGAGACTGGAGGGCTTGGAATATGATATTCTGGAAGTCAGAGGAGCTAGGATTAAAACCAAGAGTCACCTACTCAGCAAAACTGAGTATAATCCTTCAGGGAGGAAATGGATATTCAATGAAATAGAAGACTTTCAAGCATTCTTGATGAAAAGACTAGAGCTGAATAGAAAAGTTGACTTTCAAATACAAAACTCAGGAGAAACATGAAAAGGTAAACAGGAAAAAGAAATCATAAAGGACTTAGGAAAGTTGAACTGTTTACATTCCTACATGGAAAGATGATATTTGTAACTCATGAGACCTTTCTCAGTGTTATGGTAGTTGGAGGGAAAATCTATCTATCATCTATCTGTCTATCTATCTGTCTATCTATCTATCTATCTATCTATCTATCTGTCTGTCTGTCTGTCTGTCTGTCTGTCTGTCTATCTATATCTATCTATAAATAAATAGGTAGATAGACAGACAGAGGGCACAGAGTGAGTTGAATATGAAGGGATAATATCTAAAAAATAAAATTAAGGGGTGAGAGAGGATTATACTGGGAGAAGGAGAAAAGGAGAGGTAGAATGGGGGTAAATGATCTCACATAAAACAGATAAGGAAAAGCTTTTATAGTGGAGAGGAAGAGGGGGAAGTGAAAAGGAGTGAATGAATCTCACTCTCATCAGATTTGGCTTAAGAAGGGACTAACATACACACTCAATTGGGCATGGAAATCTATCTTAAACTACAGGAAAATAGGAGAGAAGGGGGAAAGAGGGGGAGAATAATAGAAGGGAGGGCAGATTAGGGGAGGAGGTAATCAGAAGCAAACACTTTTGAGGAGGGACATGGTCAAAGAAGAGTATAGAAAAAATAGGGGTTGGGATAGGATGGAGGAAAATAGTCTTTCACAACATGACTATTATGGAAGTGTTTTGCATGACGGCACATGTATAACCTATATCAAATTGCTTGCCTTCTCAATGAGGGTGGGTGGGGAGGGAGGAAGGGAGAGAATTTGGAACTCAAAGTTTTGAAAACAAATGTCAAAAATTGTTTTACATGCAACTGGGAAATAAGATATACAGGCAATGGGGTACAGAAATCTATCCTGCCCTACAGGAAAATAGAAGGAGGAGGGGATAAGAGAAGGAGAGGGAGATAGAAGGGAGGGCAGATTGGGGGAAGGGGCTTTTAGAATGCACGCTGTCTTGGGATGGGAAGAGGGGTGAGATGGAGAGAAAATTTGGAACTCAAAATTTTGTGGAAATGAATGTTGAAAACTAAAAATAAATAAATAAATAAATAAATTAAAAATGCTTAAAAAAGGTGGGTGAACAGTGCATGATATCAGATGATGATGATATGTAGTTGGATGTCCATTAAATTAATGTTTCAGGATGCACATCTTGAATAAACTCTTCATAGGAATAATGAAACAAGTCAATTGAAATTAATAGGAGTAGGACACTGGGCAGAATCAGGTTCAGGAAACTGAGCTGCACAGATAATAAATATTTGAGTAGTGATCCCATGTTGCCCCCTACCACTTTAGCCTGGCTCTTAAATCCTATCCTTTTCCCAGCAATGTTGCTACTGTCCATGGTTATAAACCAAGGAATACTACAGTCTCTGAAGAATCTAAAGTGAAGGTGACCCAAATATCATCAAGGCCTTGAAGAGCTAGAGTAAGAAGTGGACTAGTCACGCAGTGAAATGTGGGATAACAGATGCACAGGAGCCCAAAGCTACACCACTGACCACGAATCAGGGCAATAACCAGAGGAAGGTCTCCAGCAAATTTGAGATTTTATGGAAAGGCATAGACAAGAGTCATCCTGGATGTTAAGCTACAGATAGGTTATGATTGGTGCCAATGAACAAAATATACATGCTGATAAAATCAAAATTCTTGTTTAAAAATTAGGTATCTCTTTCTCTTCTTATATCATCAAGTGCCTGATTGGGGGTAGGGCAGAGGATGAGGAGAGGAAAGGGGGAGGGGAAGGGAACAAGCATTTATTAAGTACCTACTACAATTATGTCAAACTCAAAGAAACAGGGCACCATTAATCCATTTATAAGAATTTCTTAGGTCACAGATTGACTTATTTAAGTCTTACTTAAGACTACAAAGATGACTTAAGACATATGTTTTATTGTATTATTATTTGTTATTACATTTTAATATGGTTTGGTGTGTCTGAGGTAAAATTTGAATTTGGGTCTTCCTGACTCTAGGCCAGGCATTCTATCCACCATGCTACCTAGTAGGGAAGTAAGATTATTGGTTAAGAGAATACTGACCTAAGTTCAGAACAGTGGAACTATGTGTGGGTTCTGAGTGCCAACCTTGCATACTTATTTGGCACTCACAGATAGAGAGCTTCTTATTATTGATTGAAAGACAGAAAGAGGATAGGGCGTAATTGGGAGACAGACAGAGAGAGAGAGAGAGACAGAGAGAGAGAAAGAGAGAGAGAAGAAGAAGGAGAAGAAGAAGAAGGAAAAGAAGAAGAAGGAGAAGGAGAAGGAGAAGAAGAAGATGAAGAAGAAGAAGAAGAAGGAGGAGGAGGAGGAGAAGAAGATGAAGAAGAAGAAGAAGAAGAAGGAGGAGGAGGAGGAGGAGGAGGAGAAGAAGAAGGAGGAGGAGGAGGAGAAGAAGATGATGAAGAAGAAAGGAGGGAGAGAGGAGAGGAGAGGAAAGAGGGAGAAATGAGAAGAGAAAGGTAGAAAGAGATGAGGGAATAGGTGGAGAGAAGGGAAAAGAGAGAGACTGGGGGGGTGAGATAAGTCAGGGAAAG